CCCTTCCAGGTCATCAACGTGGAGAAGAGCTTCGCCAGCCTCTTGCCTTCCAAGGTGGAAATCGCCCTGAAGAAAGCCAGCCCCATTGCCTGGGCTAGGCTGGAGCAGCCGCACAGCCAAGCCGAGGCCCTTCAGCCCCTGTCTCAGGAGGTGGCCACCCCAGGCAGCTCCCTGGAAGCCCCCCTGGAGGAGTCAGACGACAGCTTGGGCTGGTCTGAGGAGGAGGACTGAGCTGGCAGCTGAGCCAGGCTGAGGAGCGTGGAGGGGGACGGGGACGGGCTGGCTCTGGGGCTGCAGGAGAGCAGCACCACCTGGGAGACAGAGAGTTTCACCCCTGCAGGAGGACCCTGTCTTCTCCTGAAATAAAAGCAAATTCTTTCAATGGGAGGAAGTCAGCGTGCCCATAAGTGGCGTGTGTGTGTGTGTGTGTGTGTGTGTGTGTGTGTGTGTGTGCGCACAGGCAGACCCTCCCTCCCGTCTTTGCAAGAGCTTTGTGCAGCCACGGGAACTGATCTTTCCCAGTGCAAAGTGGTGATGACTGGGACCGCAGCCAGCGATAAGCTGCCCTGCCGTGTGCCAGCCCTCCTCCAAGCTCAGCCGCAAAAGCTGCTGGTCTCCATCTGTGCAGCAGCCAGGTAGGAAGGGAAGGCTTCCACATCCTCTGGGCATCCAGGTATGCCAAGCAAGGTTTCCCAAAGCCCAGACTCCATGAGACCGGCATTAACCCAAGAAACCGGAATAATTTCTTCCGGTGGCTGCTTTTCAGACAAACAACTTTTCTCCTGGAAAAGGCATAAGCACCCTGAATGCCCTTCTCTCCAAGCGGGGAAGGAAGTGGCTCAGCTGGAAATCAGCGAAGTTCCTCCTCTTTGCAGGAATCCATCGCCCGCTGCTCGGGTACCGCTTGGGTTGCTAAGAAACCCAGCCTCAGAGACTGCCAGCATCTCCTGCGCCGGGCTTTCTGCTCCTTTCCAAAGCTCTTGCGCAGATGCCCTCTGGGTGGTTTTGCCAGGGAGCGCTCCTGGCGCAAGGATGGCGCCGTTGGCCCGGCTGCAAAGCAACACAAAGCCAGCCTGCCAATGCTGCTGGCAAGAGGGTGAGGCGCAGGGGTCTACCACTGGGCATTGGCACCGAGCGCCAATGCAGGCTCCCGCAGAAGAATCATTTTCTTGGCCAGGTCTATTGGAATTTCCCTCGAGCTTTGGGGCTTCAGCTGTCCCACGGGGGCTCCTTTCGCTCTACCCCACGCCCTCCTGCCCAGGCTAGAGCCTCGTTTGACACATTCAAGGGGAGGGGGCGCCGGTCCGGCACCTCTGCGAGGCCGGCGATCTCCTTCCATCCGCCCACGCCCCAAAGCCAGAGCCGTCCGCCTTTTCTCTCTTGCCAGAGGCCAATGCAGCAGCAGCATCTGGACGCAGAGCGTGGGAGCCCCAGGGAGGCTTGCATTGCATTGCACAAAGCCCCCGCATCCATTAGCATCCCCGCCACGCGAGGCCAACCCTTCGGCAGCCGTCAGCTCCCCGCGGGCCACCTGCAGGCGGGGCGCGCGAGCCCAGAAGGAGACTGGCTTCGCGGCGCGGCCACCGTAGAGGAACTACGCTTCCCAGCAGGCCCGGACAGGCCGAACGCCATTGGCCTTTTCCTCCCACCCTCGAAGGGGGCGGGGCGTGAGGCCGCATGCGCAGTGCGTGGGCCGGGCGCGGGGGGCGCGGTTTCCCCACAGCCGCTTCCAGCTCGACTTTGGCCGGCGGCGGCAGCTTCGCGGGGAGCGCCCGGAAGGCAGCCAGGGAGGCGCGCGCGGCCCTCAGGTAAGCTCTCGGGCCGGGACCCCGGTCGCCCGCCACGCTCCGGCCCGGCCTTCGCCCAGCAGCCGCTTCTTCCGGGCCCGCGGCGGCTTTCAGGGAGGCGGCCGGCCGGAGGGCGCGGCTGGGACGAAGGGCCTCCGCCCGGGCCTCCTCACGCCCCGCGGTCCGCCTCGGCCCGGGCAAGGAGCTCGGGTGCCGGCGAGATCGGCCGCGGGGAGAGAGCCCCGCCC